GGGAGTAAGACTGACAGGGGAGGATAGTGAGGCTGAAGGGGAGGACAGAGAGGCTGACAGGGGAGGACAGTGAGGCTGACAGGAGAGTGAGGCTGACAGGGGAGGACAATGAGGCTGACGGGGAGGACAATGAGGCTGACAGGGGAGTGAGGCTGACAGGGGAGGACAGAGAGGCTGACAGGGGAGGACAGAGAGGCTGACAGAGGAGTGTCAGCAGCCAGCCCCTGAGAAGTCGGGCTCTACCCCCCTTACACTCCATGACAGTCAGGCTGCAAAGGCTGAGGTCATCCGGGGCCTGGCACCCAGGGAGGCACCTCACCCAAGACTACTGTCCAAAGTTCTGGCTGCTCCAGGGGAACCTCCCACCCAGTCCCCACCCCAGTCACCCAGGGCTGCCTGCCTTGGGTTCTCCTGGACGCCATAAAGGCACCCCCTGCTGGTTGTACTGAAGGCTGCAACCCCCTCACTGGGGACAGTCACCCCAGGCACCTGCACTGGCTGGCTCCAGAGCCTGACTGGCCAGGAGCAGGTCAGGGATCTTCTCAGCAGGAAGCCCTACAAAATCAGTCCCTGACGGGGTTGCCCAAAGAAGAAGGGGTACAGGCTAGGCCAGCCTCTGGGATGAGGGCTAGGATTGCATAAATCATGGAGGCCAAACCTACCCATACATACCCATTGTGGCACCCTTGCTCGGCTGACTGTTAGAGATTCAAAGCAAGATAGAGACCCCTGCACTCACAGAAAGGAGCACCCCAATATTGCTGAGGGGCACATAGGAGCCCATAATCCTCCATAGTTTTGGTTTTAATTAGCTCATTTCTTTGTAGGGGAAACTCCCCTATCAGAGAAAGTCCATTAACTTCCCTCTTACACAGAAAATTTGGGGTTAGCTTTCAAGAAAATTGGGGAGAAGTTAAAACAAAAAGAGAGAGCAGCTTAACATGGGAGAAGGGAGGAAGCATCCAAGTGCTGTGGGAAGGAAAGTCCCATACCCCCAAGAGGCAGAATAATGCCCTCTTCAACCCAGGAGGAAGAAATACCCCATGCCCAAGCGAGGACAAAGACCCCTCCCCAAGCTGAGGAATGGACATAATACACACACACACACACACACACGCCACCCAACCAATCCCCAGGGAGGGAGGAAGCCCCGCCACCCCCAAACCTCAACCACAAGGGCACACTGAGCTGGGCTGGGGCAGGCCCTGGGGAAGTAAACAGTCTGGGGTTGGTTCTACGCAGCCGGGAGGCCTAGGCAGCTACCCCGGGCTTTGCTGGTGACGGAAGGAGGCCACGGCAGGGCCTCCAGATGTCAACTGCAAACAGGCTTCAATGGCTGGAACTGAACAGGAAATGTCTGTCCAAAGCCAAAAGAATGTAATCTTCTCAGTACAATGTAAAATGCATTTATGAAGAAAAAAAAAAGCACAGAGTTGAAATGATTAATTCACTGCAGCTTTAAGAAACTAAAAGCCCCAAATGAAGCCCAAATTTAAGAATTCGCTGTAAGTATGTGTTTGCTGTAGTCACTCATAAAACAAAAACAGTGGTACATCTTAAACCATTTTTCTAGCGAACACATTTAAATCATTCAGGATCCTGACAGCAACACTCCAGGTCCTAGGCAGCATGAATGGCGTCCGCCTTCCTCCGCCCCTTCCCGGGCCCCCGACGTCCACAGCCAGTCAGCCACCGCCGTGGAACAGCCTGTCCTGACAGGGCTGGGCGGTCTGGGAAGGCCTGAGGCTCCAGGGCTTCCCCATCACCCTTTGTTCCTCCCCATGTAAACAGCAAAGCCAATGAATGACGCCAGGGAGAGCTAAGGGCTGTGCCTTCCATTACTGATTCTGCATCGCTCGGTGGGTTCAGGATCACCTGCAGCTTATTCTTTCCCAGCACTGCCTCTCCACAAGGAGCAGGAGGATTCTTTGATTTTTAGGCAAAGTATTTTTTTTAAAAGATTTATTTATTCATATAGAACTGGGGTACAGGCCAGAGACACAGAGGGTGAGAGGCCTCACCAGAGATAGAGA